TCCCTGAACCTAGCGAGGCAAGCCTGGTTTCCGTAGCAGACAGAGCAGCCGCTAACGCTTTCCTCTCATTCTAATGAATGCAGAAGTTAAACATTAGAGAACTGGGGGAAATGGTGCTCAAGGATGAGGGCTGGAATGCAAAAACAAACCCGTTAAGACCCTGCCTGGGTTTTCTCAGACCCTAAAGTCTGATGAATAATAAAAGTATTCTTACATATACACCTAGTACCAGGGCCCACATAAGATTAAGAAACTTTCTCAGTGACTCATGGCTGTAATCCCAGCACTTTGGGAGACCAAAGTGGATGGATCACTTGAAGCCAGGAGTTCCAGACCAGCCTGGGTAACGCGGCAAAACCCCATCTCTACTAAAACAATAAACTAGCCAGATGCGGTGGTATGCGCCTGTAGACCCAGCTACTCAGGAGGCGGAAGCATGAGAATCGCTGGAAGCCAGGGGGCAGAGGCAGCAGTCAGCTGAGATCACAGCATTGCACTCCAGCCTGGGCAACAGAGTGAGACTCTGTATAAAAAACGAACAAACAAAGCTTCCGAGACCCTAGACCCTAAAGATTAGATAAGATGGAATGAAACAGATCTGCTGGTAAGGTGTACACTCCCACAGGGAAGCACCGAGCTTAGAACCTACATAAGCACTGGAGAAAAACTTGTAAGTTTCAGTTGGTCTGGTGAGTTATTCTGACCTTCTCCCTGTAACCTGTTGCAGAAATAAACTTCATTCTTTCTCAGTCTGTCTGCATCTCTTCACGAGAACAAGCAGGTGGACCTTTTTCATTTGGAAACCCTAGGACAGGCGTCCCCAAACTACCGCCCACGGGCCGCATGCGGCCCCCTGAAGCCATTTATCCGGCCCACCGCCGCACTTCAGGAAGGGGCACCTCTTTCACTGGTGGTCAGTGAGAGGAGCACAGTATGTGGCGGCCCTCCAACGGTCTGAGGGACAGTGAACTGGCCCCCTGTGTAAAAAGTTTGGGGACGCCTGGTCTAGGATCACCCCCGCCACAAAACTCACCCCCACCCCCTGCCGTCTCCCTATTTACAAAATGGGGTGTTGAGCTAGATCAGAGTTTCCAAATTCAGACACCTTCAGGGGGCAGGCAGATAATATAAGCGTGTGAAGCTGCCAGCTGGGAGACAATAGGGAGGGGTGGCAACTGTGGCAGCGGGGACAGAGCCTGCTGGGCTCACCCATTCAGTCTGTTTCTCAGAAACAGAAAACTGAGGTCAAACAAAACCCTTCGGTAGGCCAGACCCAGCTCTTGGGCCACAAGTTTGAGCCCCCAGCATTGGTTATTGTGTGTTGGTGGGTAAGGAGGGTGGTGGAGGGAGTAAGTCTGGCTGGAGAAATCATTAAAAAGATATGTAAAATGTGCCTGGCATATAGTCGATGCTCAAGACATAGAAGCTTTGCCTGGCATTCAAGGCCCCTGAGACTAGACCCCGAGGGACCTCTCTTCGCTCAGTAAGCAACGTGGGCCCCAGTGAGCCTTGGCAACAGCAGGACCTGGAAATTGCTTGCCTCAAATCTTGGGACCAATCAGGGTAGGTTCTGGGGCTACTCTTGTTGACATTAGCGGGGGGCTCTTCTAGTCTGAGGGGCTTCTCCCTCTAACACACACACACACACACACACACACATTGCCTGCTGTGCCTGAGCTCACCTAGCACCCCATGGAGGAAGGTAGGGAGGATCAGCAGAGCCCAGTTCTTAGAACCCCCTGTCTGAGGCCGTTCTCCCCTCCCGGCACCCACAGGCACCACAGGGATAGATAGTTCCATTTGCTCGCCAGAACCTTCCAACTTTAAGCTGGAAGGGCCTCAGAGGCTGTCAATCCAGCTCCTTCATTTTCCAGCTGCGTAAACCACAGCACAGAGAGAAGCGGTGACTCACCCAAGGTGACACAGTAAAGTCACAAGAAGCCAAATTTGGATCCAGGGTCTTCATTCATTCAACAAACATCTATTAGGCACTTTTCACATACAGGTGCTGTCCCGGAAGTCAGAGTCCTCCACACCTGCCGAGTCTGCTCAGCTCCCTGTACCGACCCGCCCCTCTGGGATCTCTCCAACCTCTCTATGTCCTGGCACCCAGGGCAGGATCCCAGACCTCCTGGTGAGTGGGGGAGAAGCCTTGGTGGGTCTGACTTGGCCATTGTGAGAAAATAGGGCACCCACTGATTCGAACAGGGCCAGAGGACGGGCCAGAGGCTCCAATGGCAGGAAGTGGGGAGGACTATGAGTCACCCAACTCAATCCACACTGTACCCTCAGCACCCAAAATCCAGGCCCAGGCTCTGCTGGGCACTTCGGACCTGCAGCAATTACCAACTCCCTCCTCGGGTCTGGGGACATCCAAGGCTCCGTGTGGCCGAATCAGCAGTGTTAATGATAGCGTCGTGGGGCAGGGCGGGACACGGCACAGCCCCAGCTGAGTGGGCGTGTGTCCTCTGCCCCCGGGGGGCTGTGACCAGGCGAGTCATCCCCACAGGTGGCGGACTCAGCAGCCTCCGAGCACATTAGCCCCTTCCCTGCCCCCAGCTGGCTTTCCCCATCTCAGCAAGTGTTGCCTCCACCCCAGGCGCCAAGCCAGCCCAGGCAATCTCTCCCTCCCACTCCCCGACCCCTGCTGACCATCAGCTCTACCTCCCAAACACCTCTTGGCCCTTCCCTTCCTCTTTGCCCCCACCCTCACCTCTGCCGTCGCCATCCTGGTTCCAGTCACCCTCTCTCAGCTGAGACCTCGGCAGCTCCTGATGTCCCGGGCCCCAGGCTCACTGCATTCCTTGCTGCAGGCAGCTGTGTCTCCTCTGACACACGTATCCAATTGCATCATTCCCCGGCTGAAAAGCCTTCCCTGGATCCCCACAAGGTAAAGGAGGATGACCAAGATAAAAGAGGACTAAAGGGCCGTACCACCTAGGGTTCCGATCTGGGCACAGCTGCTTCTCCGATTTCAGGGCTCTGGGCAAGTGATTTAACTTCTCCAGGGCTCAGTCTCCTAATTGGTAAAATCTGGAAATAGTTATTTATTTCTTTATTCATTTACTTTATCATTACTTTCTTTTGAAACGGAGTGTCACTTTGTTGCCCAGCCTGGAGTGCAATGGCAGGATCTCAGCTCACTGCAACCTCTGCCTCTCAGGTTCAAGCAATCCTCCTGCCTCAGCCTCCCGATAGCGGGGATTACAGGTGTGCACCACCACACCCAGGTAATTTTTGTATTTTTAGTAGAGACGGGGTTTCATCGTGTTAACCAGGCTGGTCTCGAACTCCTGAACTCGCATGATCCGCCTGCCTTGGCCTCCTAAAGTGCTAGGATTACAGGCATAAGCCACCACTCCCGGCCTAAAGTCGGAAATAATTTAGAAGTAAGAAACAATATATGTAAAAGGTGCCTGGCGTATAGTTGATGCTCAAGACGTAGAAGCTTTGCCTGGCACTCAAGACCCCTGAGATTAGACCCCTGAGGGACCTCTCTTCACTCAGTGCCCGACCGCGGTCCTGATCAAAATTCCTCTGGGCATTCCTGCTGCCCCCACTGGGGGATTGCTCCCTGACCTGGGGGTCACCATGAATCTCTGCCCATCACCAACCTTCCTGCTCCCCCCTCCCTCCACTAAGTCCACCTTTTTCCCTCCAGCACCCACTCCACTGGAAGACTCAGCACTGCTATTTCTTTTATGGATTTACATCCTACATCCTAATAAAAAAAAAAAAAAAAATTAAGACTGCCCATAAAATATGCCCTGGATAAGGTTTTATTTTTTTAAGCGAGGAAATTAAGTCAAAGAATTAGGAAAGAAAGAAAAAGACAGGTCTGGACATCCTCTCTGGTTGTTAGATTTCACTGTGAGTTCCCTAGTGGCCCAGGAGAAAAAAGAAAATATAACCGGTTTTATGAATCATGGTGCTCACAAAGTAAAACTAAACCAGTTGACGGAAAAAAGCCCTGCTCTTCTGGGCCCTGAGAACTGAGGGAAATCCTTCCCCTTCACACCCTGGACGGGGTTTCGTGGATGAAGAAAGTGTGGAATATTGAACCATGTGGTTCACAGCACCCTTATGGGTCTGGCTTGACCCATGGGTTTATTTTGGGATGAGGCGTCCACAGAAATATGTGTTTTGGGTCCTTCAGACTCTTCTTCATGAGAATTCTTTGTTTTCACCAAACCTTTGTTTGAATGGTGCCAGGGAATGTGGAGTTGCCCTCCCTGGCATTGGGTCTTCCTTGCAGCTGCCAGAGCAGACACCCAAAGTCCTCCAAAGCCAGCCAATCTGGGGCTAGAGTTGAGGTTCCCACTGTGAGAACCAGCCCAGGTCCAGCACCTTCTACTGATTCACTCAGAGCTGGGGGACACTCATACCCGGAAGGGGGGTGGGGGCAGCACCTCTGTGGGGCATCCCCCGGTGCAGGGCTTACATCTCGGCAGCCCCTTCGATGAAACTTGGACTCGTCTGCTTCCTTGAACACATGGAGACAGAGGGAGAGAGTGACTTGCCTTTAAACCACACAGCCAGGGAGAGGCAACCTGAGGGAAAAGACAGAAAATTGGCCCCAGAGTCAGAGACTTGGGTTCTTGGGAGCTGCCTATCACGGTTTCTTGAAAAACTCTCTGTTTCTTTCACAAGGAGGCTCTGCCCAGTGGAGGCTCACCATCTAGATCTGGCCCATCCGCTGTGGATCTCACAAGCCAGGTTGCCGGCAAGACACTGTCTCACAAGAACCTTCACAGGGCGGAAGGGCTCTGCACCTTTCTCCAAATCCCTCATTTATTCAGCAGACATTTCCTGGGCCCCTAGCACGGACCAGGCAATGAATAGATGAAGAGGAGCCGGACGCAGCCTGCCTTATAGGTGAGCACAGTGGATGGGGAGTTGTTAGCTGGGAGCTGATTATTCCACCGTGATCAAGGGATGTGCTGAGGGCGTGGAGGGAAGGGATGCTAATAATGGGAGCCAGCATTTATTGAGCACTTACGGTATGCCGGCTCTGACTAAGCACTTTGCAGACATCACCCTTAATCCTTGCAACAGACCCGGAACGGGAGCCCTGCTATTGTCTCTGCTTTGTAGAGGGGGAAAGTCTGTCCGTTTAAGGAATGCAGCCGAGGTCTCTTGCTAGTCAGGACGGAAGCAGAGAGGCAGCCCCAGTCCATGGAGTTCCAGAGCTTGTATTTTAGTTACTGCATCCCACTGGCTCCAAGGAGGATGCAGCCAGGAGGCACCTGTGTCCCCTCATGGGTGCCTGTAGGCTGCAGGCACCAACCCCCCGTGTGTCACACAACCCCGACTTCAGCCCTGCCAAAGGTGTGACTGTCTGGTGTCTGACCCCCACCTGGCCCCCAGGAGCCCTCCTAGACAGAGGCCTGGTAGCAAGAGAGTTTAAGAGACACCCAGTGTTCACCTGTCCCCACACCATGAAGGTCCTCTGGGCACCAGCCACCTAACTTCATCACTCCAGCAGCCCTTACAGCCTGAGACGCCCAGGGCGTGAGTGCAAAACTTCCAGTTCCTGTCGGCCTTGGAAAGGGCCAGGGTTGGGGCCCAGCCCAGAGCTAGGAAGAAGCCCCTCTCAGAAGGGCCCTGATGGCTGGGCTGAGGGAATAGGGATACACACGCTCCCAGAAAGTCAGGAAAGGAGAAGGCTTAGAGGTAACTCGGAAGTTCTGGAGGTTTGCATTTAAAACAGATTAAACAGTCGACACTCGGGACGAAGCAGGCAGGTGTTGAAGCCCACCCGCTCATCTTTCCCCCTCCAGAAGTCCCTGTAGCCTTGGTGCAGGAGCCTGAGGTTGCATAGATGCTCTCAGAAAGTGTCTGCTTGGTCACCAATAAGAAGGCCCAGAGAGGGCAAGCAATTGGCCCAAGGCCACACAGCCCATGTTCTTCCCCCTACAACCAGGGAGAAAGGAAGTGGCACCAGGGGTGGAGGGGAAGAAACAATGGTCACACAAGTAAGGTAAGCCACATGAGCAGGGGATAGAGCATGGGGACAGCAGCAGGCCCCACCTGAGGCTGCCGCTCACCAGCTGGGTGACCATGGTGGACGCTTCACCACGCTGGGCCTTTACAATACATGCCCCTTGACACCTCCCAAGGAGGTGACTGTGCTTATCTCCCAATCTGCTGATGTTTATAAAGTACCAGCAAGCACTCAGTCCATGTCAGTCCCCATCCTGATCCTTCATGATCTGCCTCCTCCAGGAAGCCCTCCCAGATGTCTCTGGCTCCCAGGGAATGTGCTGTTCTCTAAGCAGCCCCCACAGGCTTCTGCACTGAGAAACCATCTGTTCTGTTTCAACTCTCCCCTTGTTACTCTGGTAAGTAAGACCGCACATTCCAGAAGGACAGGGACAGGGACACTCTACGCCTTTGGCTCAGGGGGATCAGGAAGCTGATGTATGTGAAAACCATCTAGGTTTGCAGTGGTATGAGAGTCCCCAGCCAACCATCCCACAGCTGGCCAGTGGCCCCCATGTGCCCTGGGGAGAGGATTCAGCGGCCCCTCAGCAGAGCTCTTAGGCTGGCCGGCCCCCATCACCCCGACTGGGGCACTCAGCGGCCTCTGACAACACAGGTCCTGCCCCTTCCTGCCTCAGCCCGGGCTTGTGGCTCAGTGAAGCCAGAGGGACCTCCAGAGAGGGCGGCATGGAAGGAGAAAGGGAGTGCAGGGGCCAGAGACATACGGAGAAATGACCGGAGGCGGAAAGAAGCCGAATGAACAACAGACAGGCGGCCGGGCGCGGTGGCTCACACCCGTAATCCCAGCACTTTGGGAGGCCGAGGCGGGCACATCACAAGGTCAGGAGATCAAGACCATCCTGGGCAACATAGTGAAACCCCGTCTTTACTAAAAATACAAAAATTAGCTGGGTGTGCTGGCATGGGCCTGTAGTCCCACCTACTTGGGAGACTGAGGCAGGAGAATCGCTTCAACCCGGGAGGCAGAGGTTGTAGTGAGCTGAGAGCTGAGACGGTGCCATTGCACTCCAGCCTGGGTGACAGAGAGAGACCCTGTCTCAAAAAAAAAAAAAAAAAAAGAGAGACAGAGACAGAGAAAGCCCAAAACAGGGACAAAAGAGAGAGAGAGCCCAGGAAAGGAAGAGAGGCGCAAAGAGAGGAAGCGACAGTGAGGGGCTGAGAGACTGTGACAGCCAGAGACGGAGTTGGAGAGGGACAGACTGAAGGACAGAGAGAGGGACAGAACAAAGAGAGACGACACTGCGAGGGAGGACAGGAGGCAGCTCCAAGGCAGGCGGGACAGAGCCAGGAGCACCGAGCCCCAGAGCCCATGTGCGCTCCACTTTCCGCTTCCCTGGGGGCTCCCCTGTCCCAAGCCTGCTGCCCCTGACACTCAGGCAGGGCTTAGGCAGACAGGTAGTGATCATTGAACTTGTGCATGGGCTGGGTGCTAGGCCACGCCCCCTTGACGCCTCCCAGGTGGATGGCTGTACTTATCCCTAACGTGCGGGTGAAGAAACTGAGGCTGGGCGCCATCGGGTGACTCAGCCAATGACACTGAATGTTAGGGTGCAGGCAGGAAGGTCATGGATAAGGAGACTGAGGCCCAGAGAGGGGCGGTGCCTGGCTCCAGGTCACACAGCAGCCAGCTGCAGAGCCTGGGGCTGGAAACCGGCTCCCCTGGCACCTCGCCTGGCTCCTAAGAAAACAAAGAGAAACTCATTAAGTCTTTGGTAATGAGGCTCCAGGTCTTCTCAGATGGGCGGTGGCCAACACTCTAGAAGCTGTCAACACCCGCCGCTCCGCAATCTCCACGCCCACCTCCTGCCTCCCGCTCTCTTTTCTGGGAAGGGCACCCCTGAGACTGCCCAAACTTGCCCTCTCTTCTAGGAACCAGGTCCCTGCCGGTGGCATCTCCATCTCCCCACCCCCTTCAGCCCAGAGCCCCCTCCAGCCTAGACCCTTGCGTAGAACCAACAGGCAGCAGGGTGGCCATTTGGACACTCCCCACAGTGACATCAGCCAAGCATGTCCTCAGGCTCCCCACAAAGTCCTCAGCCCCCTGGAGAAAGGGAGGGAGGGCCAGCACGCTGACTCACACTGAGTGTCCGCTCCTGGCACACACCTTTGCTCGCCATGGCCTCTTGCAACCCACAAGGAAGGGACAGGGAGCAAAGCACCGCTGGGAGAGGAAGAGAGTCCCACAGGTCACCCAGGACAGCTGCCCGAGCGTGAGCCCATGCTCCTGCCATTCCCCGGGACCTCCAGACTGTCTTCCTGTGTGTCCCGGTCCCATCCCTGCCCTGAGCCAAAGTGTGGGCCACCTCGCCCTGCAGCCCCTCCCCCTCCACACACACGCCCTGTGTCCTGGGATACAGCGGGCTGGGAAGAGAGGGACACTTCCTGGCTGTGGGACAAGTCAGAAGTCCTCCTGGGCCATGGTGGTCCAGTCTGGGCCCCTGTTTTCCTGTTCGCATCATTTGGGTGGAGGGGGTAGCGTTATGGCCTCTGAGGGTCCTTAGGCTCACCTCTCCTGACCCTCAGCTTGCCTGCATGACCTCTGGGGCCTGGGGTCTTCATTTCCAGCCTCCAAGGTGGCCCTGGTGCCTTGTAAGCTGATCCCGGGCTTCCAGAACCTTCAGGAGACAGCACTCACGGTTCCTGGGGGTCAGGGAGGCATGGATGCTGTGATCTGCCCGGCCTCTTGCCCAGCCTCCTGCCCCAGCCTCCTGCCCAACCTCCTGCCCCAGCCTCCTGCCCCAGCCTCCTGCCCTAGCCTCCTGCCCCAGCCTCTTGCCCAGCCTCCTGCCCCAGCCTCCTGCCCCAGCCTCCTGCCCTAGCCTCCTGCCCCAGCCTCCTGCCCCAGCCTCCTGCCTCAGCCTCTTGCCCAGCCTCCTGCCCCAGCCTCCTGACCCAGGGAAGGAGCGTACTGGGGACAAGGACACAGGAAGCCTGCCTGAAGCTGCTCAGGGCTGCCCCACACATCCCCACATACCCCCAACCCAGCATGCTGCCGCAGGGGTGGGACACAGCCCGTGTCTTCACGGAGCTCCCAATCTGGTGCCGGCAGAGTCTGAGGCAGACGCAGAGATGACAAGACAACTCTTCCCAGACAAGCGTGTTGCTCAAAAGCCCACCGGGACGGCGAAATGGCAGAAAGGAGCTTTGCTGGTGCCGTGAGTTTGCAAACCAGGAAGGGCCAGTCTCTGGCGTGCTGCGGAGGTGCTCTCTCCCGGGGCAGGGCAGGGCAGGTGGGGTTTGTGCCTCACAGAGCCCGGATCAGGCAATAGAGTCACATATATTCAGCAGGTTTGGGAGAAAGACTACCCATATTTATGAAGGGAGGGAAGCGTATGCACACAGGCACAACAGTGTAACGCACGGCCCATGTTCACATTGGGCTGGGGTTCTAGTACTAAAATGAGGTGGAATGCGGCTCTTTACAGCAAAAGGTGTAAGACACAAAGACAGTTTGTTTGCAGCCTCTGTAAGCTGCTGAAATGGTTAAGGTCTGCAGTTACGTATCTACAGAAGAGAGTGTTTGAGGCCAGGTGCAGTGGCTCATGCCTGTAATCCCAGCGCTTTGGGAGGCCAAGGCAAGGTGGATTGCTTGAGCTCAAGAGTTCGAGACCAGCCTGAGCAACGCGGTGAAACCCCGTCTCTACCAAAAATAAAAAAATTAGCCAGGCGTGGTGGTGCACGCCTGTAATCCCAGCTACTTGGGAGGCTAAGGTGGAAGGATCCCATGAGCCTGGAAGGTCGAGGATGTGGTGAGCCATGTTCATGCCACTGCACTACTGCAGCCTGGGCAACAGAGTGAGACCCGCCTCAACAAAGAAAAAGAGAATGCTTGTAAGGCAGTTCCTCCCTCCGGTCACAGCTATAGCGGTCTGGGTTGTAAATCCAAGGCAGGAAGAATGTGACGGCTTGCCTGACACTTCCTATTATTGGGAGTTTAGCAAGGGTGCGGTTATTTTGAGATGGAGTCTCACTCTCTCTGTTGCCCGGGCTGGAGTGCAGTGGAGCAATCCTGACACACTGCAAACTCCACCTCCCAGGTTCCAGCGATTCTTCTGCCTCAGCCTCCCGCGTAGCTGGGATTACAGGCGTGCACCACCATCACCTAGCTAATTTTTGTCTTTTTAGTAAAGACGAGCTGGTCTCGAACTCCTGACCTCAAGTGATCCACCTGCCTTGGTCTCCCAAGGGGCTGGGATTACAGGCGTGAGCCACTGTGCCCAGCCAGGTGTGGTTATTCCCGCAGTGGTAGGAATTTAGTTGCCATGCCAACCAGGCCTTGAACCTCCGGCCTGTAGGTAACTTTTTTTCTTAACCTTGGGGTCCACCTTCGTGGATATAGGGGTATCTGTTTTGGTATCTGAGATGATGAACTAGAGAGGTCCCCAGTAACATGGGCTCTGGGTTCAGTCAGGGCTAGGAGCCTTCCTGGGAGGTGACAGTGGAACAGCGGTGTGAGGAAGGGACTGGGTGTCAGGCCCCTGTGCCCAGCACACCCCTTGCTTCCCTGTGGTCACTCCGGGCTCCCCAAGGCCCACCCCTACCCGTTCCCAGGTGTTCGCAGTGCCTCCTTCCTAGATAAGCGACAGAGATGTCAGAGCTGTCGGTCCCTTAACGACCCATGGGCCACAAGAGCAGAGAACGGAGAAGGAAGCTGGGTGGCAGGTGGGGAGCTGCGAACAGGGCCCAGACTGGAATGCAGGGCTCATGCCCTGACCGACGCCCTGCGCACTGCCCTTCTGTGCCTGTTCTCAGACTCCAGAACATGGTGCCCCCCGAGCCTGCCAAGGCGTCCCCATCATTCATGCACCGATTGGCCGTGGGCTTCTCCCATGTCCTGGGCCTGGCTTTCATGCACGCTCACCCCCTGCGACCTCACTGCAGCCCCTTCACTCCAGTGTTTTGGCCTCTGCTCCCATCCCACTCACAGCCTCCTGAGCCCTGTCGGGGCTGGCAGCCCGAGGGGTGGGAGGGGAAGCCTGGCTCTGCCTGACATGGCAAGCTTTCCCAGGAGAGGTGAAGACTTCTAAACTGGACCCAGTTTTCCAGAGCATTCGCCAGCCTGGCCCCACCCCGACTCCCCACCAAAGCCTCCGCCCTGCTGGCTGGGTCTGACTTACCCACCCTGAGCACCAGGAACTGGATTCCAGGGCCAAGAATTTGACCACATCCTGGTGGGTCCAGCCTAACATTCCCCAAAACGGGGTGGAAACCAAGGGAGCGATCAGCTGATGAGCGAAAAAGGAGAAACTTGTGACAGCAGCACTCGCTGCAAGGAATTAAAACCCAGCCCAGAAAATAAACACAGGGAAACCTTGCTTTTCACCTGACCTGGGTCCTGAAGAAATCTTAAGAAAACTTTCGTAAGTAAATCAAAAGTTCCTTTGGCGAAGGGAGCTGACCCGTTAACAGCCACCTTTATTTCTTGCTCATTCTAGATGCCTGTCTCCCCCACCAGGGTCCAATTCTCTTCAAGAACGAGCGCTACCTCATATGCGTTTTGGTGACCCAGCACCCAGCACTGGGCCTGGACCATTCATTATGGATGCCCTTGGAATGAGTCGATGAAGAAGTGAGCTACATTTGCTAATAGAGGAGGTAATTCACAATCCGTATATCTGACAAAGAGCTCCCATCCGGAATTTATAAGGAACACCTGCAAATAAATGTGAAAAAAAAGCAGACCTCCTGATTTGTTTAATGAGCGAATACAAATCGCCGGATGCGGTGGCTCACGCCTGTAATCCCAGCACTTTGGGAGGCGGAGGTGGGCGGATCACCTGAGGGGAGGAGCTCGAGACCAACCTGCCCAACATGGCGAAACCCCATCTCTACTAAAAATACAAATATTAGCCAGGTGTGGTGGCACACACCTGTAATCCCAGCTACTGCAGAGGCTAAGGCAGGAGAATCGCTTGAACCCGGCAGGCAGAGGTTGCAGTGAGCTGAGATTGCAGAACTCACTTCAGCCTGGGTGATAAAGTGAGACTCTATCCTTGCTGCCCTCCCCCTTCCACCACCCAGAAAAAAAATTGAACAGACACTTCACTTAAAAACAGTAAAGATACCAAGAGGCCAAGAAACATAGGCAAAGATGCTCGACTTCTTTAGTCACCAGGGAAATGCAAATGAAAACCGAAAGGGGACTCCACCACATTCCCACCAGGTTGGCCAAAGTTAAAAAGTCTCACGATACCAAGTGCTGGTGAGGATATGGAACAACTAGAACTCTCAGACACTGCCCATGAGAATGGAAGTGGTAGGATCACATTGGAAAGCTGTTCGGTGGTATCTATTAGAGTTGGAGCACAACACATACTTTCCCTGTGATACGGTTTGGCTCTGTGTCCCCACCCGAGTCTCATATCCAATCATAATCCCCATGTGTCAAGGGAAGAATCCTGTGATTGGATCACAGGGCGGTTTCCCCCATGCTGTTCTTGGGATAGTGAGGGAGTTCTGATGAGATCTGATGGTTTAAAAGTGGCGGTTTCCCCTGTGCTCTCTCTGTCTCCTGCTGACTTGTGAGGAAGGTGCTTACTTCCCCTTCCACCATGATTGCAGCCTCCACAGCCATGCAGAACTGTGAGTCAATTAAACCTCGTTCCTTTATAAATTACCTGGTCTCAAGTAGTTCTTTATAGCAGAGTGAAAACAGACTAATACACATATGACCCAGCAATTCCACTCCTAGACACCCTAGAAGAATGAGACCATTTCCCACCAAAAGATACGTACAAGGACATTCATAGCAACTTTACTTTCAATAACCACAAATTGTAAATAACCCAAATGTCCATCAATAGAGAGAGGGATACATAAACGGTAGCACCTTGATTAAATGAAATATTATACAGCAATGAAAAAGAGCATACTACAGTTCCATGCAACAACAGGAATAAACCTCACAGACATATTGATATGCAGAAGAATCCAGACACAAAAGGTTACATACTGTGAAATTCCATTTATATGAAGTTCAAGAACAGGCAAAACTAATCTACGGTAACGAAGGTCAGAAAAGTACATTTAGAGCAGGCATGAAGAGGCCTTCTGGGGTGTTGGAAATGTTCTGTATTTTGATCTGTATCTTGTAACTTGAGTGGTGATTACACTGAGTAGTTATATGTAAACATACATGGAACTATACACTTAAAATTTATATACTTTACTGAATGTATAGGAACTTCAATAAGCAATTAAACTTTTTTTTTTTCATGTAGTGAAAACACACCCAAATCAGGATAACCAGAAAAGGCATTGTCAGGTAACCACATGTGTAGCTGGTAGGGATTAGAGTCAAAAACCTTCCAGAAACAGCTTTCACTACAAGATTTTTATTTTATTTTATTTTATTATGATTTTATTTATGAGACAAGGTCTGGCTCTGTTGCCCAGGCTGGAGTGCACTGGCACAATCTCGGCTCACTGCAACCTCCATCTCCCAGACTCAAGCCATCCTCCCAACCTCAGCCTCCCGAGCGGCTGGGACTACAGGCATGCACCACCAAACCTGGCTAATTTTTGTAGTTTTTTTTCCCATTAAACTTTTTTAATGGGTCTCAAAATTCTGTGACAAATTTTTGGTCAAGTCGATTCCATTAAAAATTTCTGATTTTAAAAACTAGCAACTTAAAACTGCCACACGCAAAAAAGAAAACCAGACTGGTCCACAAAACATTCTCCTTTCCTTCTGAGGGTTTTACAGTGCTTCATTAACACTAACGAGTCTTACCACTCAACTTTAATGGCCAATTGAAGCCAACAGTTCTGAGACGTTCTCCCACCACTGATTAAGACCGGAGTGGCAGGTATTACGGAGAATATTCATTTAGCCTTCTGAGCTTTCTCGGCAGACTTGGTGACCTTGCCAGCTCCAGCAGCCTTCTTGTCCACTACTTTGATGACACCCACCACAACTGAACTCCTATCATGAACAGAAAAGCGACCCGGACCTGAATAGTCCGAGATGCTCTCAACAAACATGGGTTCACCAGGAGCCCTATCAATGATAGCAGCATCACCAGACTTCAAGAATTTAGGGCCATCTTCCAGCTTTTTACCAGCGACACTGCCATGACGAACATCCTCAAGAGACACATTCTTGACATTGAAGCCCCCCCCCGCCACCGCTTGTCCCCAGGAAGAGCTTCACTTAAAGAGTCATGGTGCATGTTGACAGATTTTATTTGAGTTGTAACATTGGAGCCAAGGCCACCACCACACCAGCTCTGAGAACACCAGTCTCAACTCCGCTGTCAGGAACAGTACCGATACTACCAATTTTATAGGCATCCTGGCGGGGCGGGTGCGAGGGCTTGTCAGTTGGACGAGTCGGTGGCAGGATGCAGTCCAGAGCCTCAAGCAGCGGGCTCCGCTGGCATTGCCATCCTTACAGGTGACTTTCCATCCCTTGAACCAAGGCCTGTTAGCACTTGGCTCCAGCATGCTGTCTCCATTCCAACCGGAAATTGGTGCAAATGCTACTGTGTCGGAGTTGGAGCCAATTTTCTCAGTGTAAGTGCTGACTTCCTTAACGATTTCCTCATATCTCTTCTGGCTGCAGGGTGGCTCAGTGGAACCCATTCCGTTACCACCAATAATTAACTGTTTCACACCCAGTGTGTAAGCTGGAAGGGCTTGCTCACAGGCCTGTCCATTCTTAGAGATCCCAGCTTCAAATTCACCCATACCAGCAGCAGCAATCGGGACACCGCGGTCAGCCTGAGATGTCCCTGTAATCATGTCTTCAATGAAGGCTCTGTGTCCTGAGGCATCAATGATAGTCATGTAGCTCTTGCTGGTATCAAATTTATACAGAGTTATCAATGGTGAGACCACGTTCACACTCAGCTTTCAGTTTATCCAAGACCCAGGCCGACTTGAAGGAGCCCCTTCCCATCCCAGCACCTCCTCCTCCCATTTTTCAATGGTTCTTTCGTTGACGCCACTGCATTTGTAGATCAGATGGCCGGTAGTGGTGGACTTGCCCGGATCTACGTGTCCAGGGACGACAATGTTGACATGAGTCTTTTCCTTTCCCATTTTGGCTTTTAGGGAGTTTTCACGACGCTTGTGTTCTGGCAGCAAACTCGTGAAAAAGGTAATTTTTGTATTTTTAGTAGAGACAGGATTTCTCTATGTTGCCCAGGCTGGTCTTGAACTCGTGAGCTCAAGCTGTCTACCTGCCTCAGCCTTCCAAAGTGCTGGGATTACAGGCGTGAGCCAGCGTGCCAGGCTCGATACAAGATCTTTAAAAGCCCAATTTTTAATTTTTTTTTTTTTTTTTTTTTTTTTTGAGACGGAGTTTCGCTCTTGTTACCCAGGCTGGAGTGCAATGGCGCGATCTCGGCTCACCGCAACCTCCGCCTCCTGGGTTCAGGCAATTCTCCTGCCTCAGCCTCCTGAGTAGCTGGGATTACAGGCACGTGCCACCATGCCCAGCTAATTTTTTGTATTTTTTTAGTAGAGACAGTGTTTCACCATGTTGACCAGGTTGGTCTCGATCTCTTGACCTTGTGATCCACCCGCCTTGGCCTCCCAAAGTGCTGGGATTACAGGCTTGAGCCACCGCGCCTGGCCCTAAAAGCCCAAATTTTAATTTACAGATAAAGCCAGCCCATCCTCTGAATTTACCATCCGGGAAGTTGTGATCTAGAGTCACTTTGAGCTCCTCAAGCTGTGGTCTAGAGCAGGCGTCCCCAAACTATGGCCTGCGGGCCGCATGCGGCCCCCTGAGGCCATTTATCCGGCCCCCCACCGCACTTCAGGAAGGGGCACCTCTTTCACTGGTGGTCAGCGAGAGGAGCACAGTATGTGGCGGCCCTCCAACGGTCTGAGGGACAGTGAACTGGCCCCCTGTGTAAAAAGTTTGGGGACACCTGGTCTAGAGCCACAAAGCCCCTAAGAAACAGGGCCCAGCGCCCTGCAGCAACATCGGTTTACCCAACAATTTAAGAGAGAAAAAGTATTTGAAAATGTTAAGGCTGGGCACGGTGGCTCAAGCCTGTAATCCCAGCACTTTGGGAGGCTGAGGCGGGTGGATCACAAGGTCAAGAGATCAAGACCATCCTGGTCAATAAGGTGAAACCCCATCTCTACTAAAAAAAAAATACAAAAAGTTAGCTGGCCATGGTGGTGCGTGCCTGTAATCCCAGCTACTCAGGAGGCTGAGGCAGGAGAATTGCCTGAACCCAGGAGGCGGAGGTTGCGATGAGCCAAGATCGCGCCATTGCACTCCAGCCTGGGTAACAAGAGCGAAACTCCGTCTCAAAAAAAAAAAAAAAAGAAAGAAAGAAAAAGAAAAAGAAAATGTTAAGACCAATATGGCCGTGTCATGGCGGGGCCCCTGCTGGCCCATAAGGCACCTTTGTGCAAAGTAGAAAAAAAGCACACCCCTTCTTTGGGATAGATGCAGCCCCACGTCAGGCACAAAGCTTGGCAACAGGCACTCAGGTGGGGAGTCAGCCCCAA